AGGGTCAAAGATTAGATTCGGGTCACTTTTAAGGGAGTCAAAGTGGACTTATTCCTAATTCTTACCCCACTGGTATGCAGGGGCGGACATAGACTTTTGGCAAGCCCCAGCCCAGCCCATAACAGTTTTGGCCCTGGTATTCATAAGTCAGCTCCTAAACTTTCACTATATTTTGATAGTCAAAGTTTAGGAGCTAAATTTAAAATAAAATAGGAAATATAAAATGTGAATATGGACTAAATTGAACTATTTGGAGAAAATCTAATAAGTTCATAAAAAAATTGGTTCTTCTGTTCGCTAAAATTGGACCAACCATTGCATGTTCCTTTTTCGTAATAACTTTTAAATGCTTAGATATTATTGACCTTACATGTATCCTACACTATTGCATTATAAGTTTTTGGGGATATTATTGGATATATATAAACCAAAACTATGGTAGCAGTATATAGTTGGTTTAAAAGCTCTATTTGTTACTATTAATTTTAAATTTTGGACCCATGTTGATAAGGTATTTTCTTTCAAAAAAAGATACTATGGATCATGCATATCACAAGGAAATAAGTGATGTTTCTGATGACTTTGTTAATGTATATGTAAGTATGTAACAACTCGCATCAATTCGAACCAACTACAAGGATGACTAACTTGATGGGACAAATAAAATATATTTATTTGTAATAATAATTCTTTAGGATTTGTAAAAAAAAGTCAAACATTTAATTAAACAAGACAAAACACTTTACTTTCAATTCATACTTAATTTGTTATACACGGTTTCCAAACAAGCTAAATCTAACTCCATAATGAAGAGATCATAAATAATTGTTTATAGGATATGTATTAAATATTATATATTTTAAAAGCTAACAAACAGTTTGAAAAAATTATCTAAGTAATGCCGGTGAAGAAAATTTACGGAGAAATAGTACTCTTGAGATATTACAGGTGTCAACTAGTTGATATTATGTCTATATAAGTTTTTCAAACGCAATCTATAATACATGCCTGCGCGAATGCGCGGGCTATCTTTCTAGTGTATTCTAATATAAAGTTAACTTTTAAATCTTAAAAGTTCAACCCAATCATGCTCAAAACGTATAATTAATATTACAACCAGAGTGAGTAGTAAATCAGTTTTCTGAGAGGCCGGTATTTTTTTTCCCAAAAGACCGGTGTCAATTTTTTTTCCAGAAACCGGTATTACAACCTTGCGTATCCTTTATCTCAACTGGAGACGTTAGTTGAACTAGCCTGTTCCTAAACAGCTGAATTAATTAGAAAATTGCAAATCCAAACATAAAAAGTTGCTTACTCCTACCTATATGTCTATGTCATATCAAACACAACGTAACACGTTTGGTGAGCGAGCCATGTTTGTCGACACTCAAGGCATATATATAATTAGGTCATTTGTGCAAAGTAAACTAATCAACAACGAATGCATGCACTTAAAAGTGTTAGGAAAGTTTAATTTCGTTCTAAGCTATCGCGCAACTGGGAAAAGAAAGGCATAGAGATAATTGGCTTTCGACAAGGACATGTTAATTAGCAAGTTAAAATAATTATGATTCCCGTCGCTAGCAGCTAGCAAGCAATTTTAATATTTGTGTGTAACACATAAGATCTGAACCGGTAGACATCTTGGTGAAAAACAATTCAATGTGTAAATTTTCTGTCTGCTGTTAAAAGGACAGATGATCTATATATATTGGTAAAAAGGAATGGAGTATATGTTGTTAGGAAATAATAGGCAAATAAACGATAAACAATAATAGATCAGTCACATAAGACACGAGATTTAACGTGGAAAACCCTCCCAAAGCAGGAGAGAAAACTATGGGCGCCAGCCAGCAAAATATCTTCACTATATTGAGGTTATAACGCCGAACGGCGGTTTACAAGAGGTATATATGAAGATGAAACCCTAAAGAATAATGATCCTCTTCGCTTCGGCCCAGCCTCTGGCATCTACAATCTCCGCTTCGCTCCGGCAGAAGCTGGTCTTTATTATATGCAAATGAATTTGGATCACAACTCAACATATGTAACTATAAAGTGCTGAAAAAAACAGAGATAAATTAAGAAACCTTGACAAATTGTCTTTCGGAACTTTGTCATCTAGCTAGGCTGATGCTGTTGAAAGTTGTGCAAGACTGCTTGTGGATGAAGGCCATATATGAAGCGCAGGAGTGTCGTAAAAAAGGATCAAACACTGGCATAAATCGAAAGAAAAGAAATTGACTGGAAGTTTGGGCGGCTAGGACCAATGTGATAGCGCTATAACACTTCCGTTACACATGGCAGGTGTTGTGAAAGATGATGTACAAATATTTGTTATCATTATTGAGTCGTTATTTCATCGATCCACATATAAAGGCTACATTTTGTCCACAGTGGTTGCGTCAGGATTTTCGTTTATTCTCCTTAATTAATCGTGTTTAGTACATTTTGGGGCTGTTTTTTTCTTGTAAAATGCATCAACGAAAATGTAGGAGTTCAATGTAGTTTTCGGAGGTTTGTTTTAAGAATATATATATATAGCCATAGTGACTGTTCTTTTTTTTTTAAAACAATGCAAACGCATTCACTCACAAGGCACACACATTCAACCCTATGGCTGTGTTTGGAACCCTATTTTCCCTACACATCTCCCTCGTTTTCCACGCGCACGCTTTTTAAACTACTAAACGATGTGTTTTTTGCAAAAAGTTTCTATTCGGAAGTTGCTTAAAAAATTCAAATTAATCTATTTTTGAAAAAAATTAGCTAATACTTAATTAATCATGCGTTAATGGACCGCTCCGTTTTTCGTGCGGAGGGAATAGGTTCCCATCCCCTACATGCAAACACAGCCTATATATACACGCGCACATACGCCTATCCAAATAAGTATGATTATGCGGACGTATATTGAGATTGATGAAGTTATCACGAACACCTTATTGTCAATTTGTATGTTGCTAAAAATAATAATTAGTCGTAAATACGGGTATCCACGTTAAGTTTGGGACTTAAACTTAGATAGAATATTACATCACAAAGCATCTAACCAGTTCACTTCGCAACTATTCTTGTTTCAGCCTGCTAGTTCATACAATTTCCTTTTTTTTTTAAATCACACGTAGTGTTTTAAAACTTGATTTGAGGGGCTTTTTTTGGCAGTGACCTGGTGCAGATTGTTCTTGTCTAATTAATATCTTTTCTCTTAAGATTTTATCCTGGTCTCAAGGACAGTTTTGCTTGAAACATTCTCGCTGAAGCCATTTCTTAATCTATCAGTAGGTGGCGACCCATTTGGCCATTTGCTGAGGCAAATAAAAGGTCGATCAATTGCAATCTTAGCTAATCTGTGCGCATGCAATAATTTTGGCGTTAAACCGAAGAAAAGCAGTATACTTAGCTTGGGGCCGGCCGGGCAGGCATGCATGAGATGGCAAGTAACAATCAACAGCTGAGCTGAGCTGAGCTGAGCACTAGACCGACCGAGAGCGAGGTGGACGGATCATCGTTTCCGTTTTCTTTTTCAAATCATCATGGCTACCCTAGCTAGCATTGTGTTTCCACGTCAACTGACGTTTCTCTCCTCCAGAAAATGAAGGACCAACGATTTATATGCTCAGTGGTTGGGCCAAGGAACCAACGTGGTTCACATTACCAGCAGCCTTTGGCCATTTTCAAGCTTTAAGAATCAGGTGGTAAAATATTTGTGTTTACGAAATGTTAAAAGTTTGTGTATTAATTAAAAATTCCGGTATAATATTTGGGTTGATCGGTTTGAGGCAATACCGATGATTTTATCTAAGGTTTTGCCTTATACGTCAAAAATATTGTAGCAGATATATTTTTGTTATACTAAGAGTTTGCTTTTCTTTATAAAAAACTGAGAAAACCGCTAGGAATATGACATCATTTTATATAGCTTTTTTTACATTGATTTTTATCCAAACCGTCCAAACTTGGATACTATAACAGGGGGCTCCTAGCTAGCGCTTAAGCGCTGCTAGCGAGCACTCCCCTCCCTCTCTTAAGCCTTAATTACATATCTATTAGTTAATATATACTTAACACTAATTATAGAAATTAGGAAAGATTCTGGAGATTTTTTTTGAGATATTTTTACTAGCAGATTGAAAAATTTTAAGTTAGATTTGAAAACTTTTGATTTAAGTTTTAAATTTTTAAGTCAAATTTTGAAAACTTTCGACTCAGATTTGAAAACTTTCAACTCGAGAATCAAGATTCAAAAACTTTCAAGTCCAGATTTGAAAATTTTGAAAACTTCCAATTTGAGATTTGAAAATTTTCAACTCGAAATTCGAAAACTTTCAACTCGAGATTCGAAAACTTTCAAGTCCAGATTTGAAATTTTGGAAAAACTTTCAAATCAAGATTTGAAAACTTTCAACTCGAGAATCAAGATTCGAAAACTTTCAAGTCCAGATTTGAAAATTTTGAAAACTTCCAATTTGAGATTTGAAAACTTTCAACTCGAGATTCGAAAACTTTCAAGTCCAGATTTGAAAATTTGGAAAAACTTTCAAATCAAGATTTGAAAACTTTCAAGTCGAGATTTAAAAACTTTCAAGTTCAAATTTGAAAAATTTTCAACTCAAATTTAAAAACTTTCAAACTCAAAACATACTAAAAAACATTAAAAATAATAATAATAAAAAGTGGAAAGAAAAAACGAAAAAAATGGGTAAAAAAACGAAAAGAAAAACGTGGGAGGAGGCGGCGCGCCAGCGGGCCGGCGCTGGGCATTCTGGGCCCGAAACGGCACGCGCGTGAATTAGAGATTCCGACTATAACATGCCTTGCCAACAGATTAGGCCTTGGTGTTAAAAAAACCAATTTGGCCTTTTTCTAAATCGTGTGAATTTTACATAAATTTCAGACAGAACAGTTAAACAAAAGGATTCCTGATTTCTAAAGAAAGCCGTCCGGTTTTAACTGAGTCTGAACTCTGAAGAAAGTAGTGTTGCGTTGGCAAACCCTTCTTCGCTTCTCCCTTGAAATCCAGCTGAAACGCAGCTGAAATCCGCGCCACTACCACCACCGGCAGTGCGCCACCAACCCGAGAAAACGTCGCCGTTAATACAACTAGCCACGCTAGCCTGCCCGCGTCGGTGTCGGCGCCAAGTCGCGGCGCGGCGTGGCGTGGCGAGGACGCGCACCATGGCGGCGACACTGGCGCAGGAGCCGCGCCACCACCCGTCGCGCCCGCCGCTCGCGCCGGCCGCCGCCCACGCGCCCAACTCCGCCGCCGCCGCGTGCTCGACACCTCGCCGCGGCAAAACCAGCCCCCACGCCTCCTCCCGCCATGCCTCCTCCTCCTCCTCTTCCTCCTCCCTCCCTTCGTGCTCCGCCGCGCGCGTCGCGGTCACCCCCGCGCCGCACGCCACGGCCACCGCTCCCGTGACGATGCGGATGCGGAGCCTGTCGGTGTCGTTCCAGGGGGAGTCGTTCGTCTACGAGACGCCCCGCGCGGCGGCCCCGCGGCGCGCGCCTGCTGCTGCTGCTGCTAGGCCGAGGCCGACCACCCGACGGAGAGGCGAGGCCGAGAACGAGCGGCCGTCGCCGCCGCCGGCGTCGAAGGCGACCGACGCGCTCGCGCGCAGCCTCGACTGCAGCCTCCACCGCAAGGAGTCCATCCTCGCCGCCGTTCGCCTCCTGCGCAGCTCAATCTCTCCCGGCAACGCCGCCGCCGCCGCCGCGCCCGACGCGGACGCGGCCACCGACACCGACACCGACGCCGCGCCGCCCAGTATCCCCACGCAGACGAGGTTCTGGCAGGAGACGAACAGCCGCCTGCGGCGGCTACCGGAGTCCGGGCTGCCGCACCCGATCTCCACCTCCCGGAAGCCATTCTTGGACGGCCCAATCTCGCCGACGCTGCTGGAGACCTCGCCGGCGAACGCGCCGTCCATCATCAGTTTCGCGACGGCGGTGAGGAGGGCGAACAAAGGGGAGGACAAGATCGAGGAGGCGCACAGGCTGCGGCTGCTCGACAACCGCCAACTGCAGTGGCGCTGCCTCAACGCTCACGCCGACGCCGCCGCCGTTGCCCGGAGCTGCGCTGCCGAGGTGAGTCACGGTGACCTCTGCCAGTTGCAATTTTTCAGAGATTTTAGCTTAAATTGCTGATGCACTGATGCTCATACTGAAATTACCCATGGTGAGCAGATTGGCCTTTTTTTTTTTTGGTCTGTGCTGAATTTTTGTCATTCACATCGATTTTTAATCGAATTACATACTTGTAGAATACGGGAGCATGATGCTTTGATGAATTTTCACTATTTTAGAGGTTCGATTTTTCTAACAAGACCTGTAGAAGGGCACATTGAGCACATTTCCTTCTGGTTTACTCAAGCAAGTCGGTATTTATTAGCTGGATCAGTAAGAATGATTGCACATTGCATTTGATGATTTGGTTAGTAGTTGGTATCATGTCATGAGTATATATTGACCTGACAATTCTGTTGCGTAGGTTTTGTCGAACTATAGTACACAATATTAAGGATATGTTATTTATATTCTTCTGTGTTGTCGATGTGCAATATTTGTAAATACATACTCATTCCGAATCGAGAACCATATGATTCAGAGAAAAGGTATTCTCACCATTGTCGATCCTCAATTTGTCACATCCTGTTATAATTATTATTACTGCTATTCTGTACATCGCTTCATTGCACCATCATCTTCAATATATGTAGAGCCACTGGTAATGCAATCTGTAGATGTTTTGTCGGTCATATTTTGAAAAATAGAAACTAGGCTAGTAATACATTCCTGACAGAAATGCAGGAAAAGTATTATTTGTAACTCAAATTAAAAGATGAATTGTGATTGAAGAACATTTCCTAGCCAGTGCCTGCCATAAACAGGAAACTAAAATGTAAAATAAAAATTTAAACACTTGAATTAAACAAAAACAAGTGCTGTATATCCCATTGTTCATGCTAATTTCGATGAAAAAAAATGTGAGTGGAATTCTAACCCCTGGTACCTCAGTCATACTCAGCTCCAAGTGGCAGACTGCTATAGCCATGACAGTCATATAATTGAGAAATTGAAAAATCATAATGAGGAGAATAAAGATGTTGTATTTTGAGATTTTGGTACCATGATTTTTTTTTTGAAAATGAAGTCTTTCCAGGTTGTTAAATTTCTCACAATAAAAGATGGGAGAAAAAAAAGTAACAGTCAGTTCATTTTATCTTTTGCTAAAGAAAATTGTTTTGCCCGTGAATAACTGTGCATCCAACATTATTTTATTCATGTGGATTCTTGCAGTTAAAATGCAAATAATGTTAGTATGATGTTGCAACTTATGCTAATTTCAACTTGAGTTTGATCTACTGGTTAGATGACTAGATTGCCCTCTCCGATACCATGTTGAATAGTATAGGGAGTGAGATATACTGCGAATATTGGACTTGTTTTATAGACCCTCGAGGGCCGGTATATGTAGGAGATACATGGGTAGAGATAAGAAAGACTACGATACAAATCAATCATATCCTAATATATCTCTTACTACCATATACTCTAATAATTCCTAAACAAACAGAAAACACACCGAGCAACACTCAAAAGCTTATATACTAAGACGGGTGATTTCTGTTCCCCTGTGCTATGATTATGTGGGAAGGAATCTGCAAAGTGAGAAATAACATTCAAAATGTTTTCTATTAAAAATGCTTAAGTTTTAAGGTTTACATGTTCCACAAGTTATGTTTAATGTGTACTAGAACTCCTGGATGAAAATTGGTTGTCGAATTTTGGTGGTTGAGGGTCAACGCACTGTTTTGGTTTGTCAGTTTGGTTGTCGAATCATGCATGTCTTACAGAACTTTTTTTTTGGTAATGTCACATATTCTACTATTTCATTCTAATTGTATTGCGGATTCATGATGTCAGTTTGGGTAAAACGAATGAATCTCCAAACCTGCCTATCTATGGTTTCTCAGGGAACAAATGTTGGTCTTTTGGGGTATATAAATATATTTCAGAAATTCAAAATTTTGGCAAATTATATTTTTGTTTGAAACTAGCGGAAATTCTGAGAACTTTCATGTTTGAACTTTTCCCGGGGTGTCGATGTGCATCTTTGGGGCCGTTTGTGCAAAATTGTTCTTTTTTACTCATTTTGATTCCACTTTTCAGAAAGCTCTGCATAGTGCATGGAAAGATATATCCACATTACGTGACAATGTGAGTTTCAAAAGGAGCAAACTTCAGCTTCAGAAACAGAAACTCAAATTATTTGGCATTCTCAAAGGACAGGTAAATCATATGATAAGTTAGTTGGTTTCACTGCGATATCCAACTTGACATTCTCTCTTTTTTTTTTTGTTGTTGAACTAGTTGTGTGCATTTTTTTACTCTGTCCATTATCATGAAAATGTGTAGTAAATACTGAGACTTGCTGGATAGAATGATGGAATGCTGCACATATTTAAGATAAGGCATCTGAAAGACTGACATATAAGAATAGAACTGCACTTTTCTTCTGTTCACTTAGAGATAGCTACAGCCTAGAATGGTAGTTATCATGGTGATAGGTCAGTCAAACAAGCTCCTCAACATTTGTCACAGCTTGAGTTTGTTAATATGGCTTGAGTTTGGTAATTAGGGGGTTGATTTTATTCACCATCCCATAAAAAAGTAAAATGATGCACCCAAAAAGAATATTGTTCCAAACATCCAATTAGATCATTATGTTTGTTGTTTGCAGCAGCTTTAACCCAACAGCTGGCTAGGCTATCCCCTTGCTATCGTTTTACCACATTGTCCACTTGGTCAAAGTGTTAAGTGTAGCTACAAGAAGCATCATTTCAAATTGGTTATAAAGTGCACATAACACTAATTGAGGTATCCATGGCATCCATCAGGTAGTTAGGATCACAGGCTTGACATGACTGTTTCTCTGTTAGGTATTAAGGTTGCATCCAAACAGATGGATGGGAGAAAATAATAAGCTCTAATTTTCCAGAAGTTTCTTTTGGGGCTTTAGATACTGACCAAAATGCAAGAAGTTGATAGGAAATTTCTCTGTCAATTTCCATGGTTTTCTTAGCATTCTCGTCTCTAGTATTCTCTGTTGTTATAAGAAATTTAATTGTTATTTTTTGATGTGGTCAGATATCGTACCTAGAAGAGTGGTCTGATGTTGAAAACAATCATTCCAGTTCTATGTCTGAAGCAATCAAAGCATTAGAGGCTAGCACCATTCGTCTTCCAATTGTTTGTGGTGCTAAGGTCAGGAATTTTAAGTCTTATAGTCATACATAAATGTGTCCATTTGCTTATTGTGTAAACTTGTTGCGGACATGTGGAACAGGCTGATGCACAAGGTGTCAAGAAAGTTGTCAGCTCTGCACTAACCAAAATGGATACAATGGCTTCTTCAATGTGGTCTTTATTGTCAAAGGTGCATATGCTTGTCCTAGTTTTTCTCATAATTGAATTAAATATTTTGCTTGCCTTATAAAATTTATTCTGGACACCTAATTTTGATCGCCTGTTTATATGAAAATCTCAACTATGTACACCTAAGATATGCGATGATGATCTTTGTCAGTACACATAAACAAGATATGGAGAAACGATTTGCCTGAATCCTAATAAATACCATGTGTGGACATGCTAAAATTCCTCAGAAACTTGTGGTGATGGAAAACAAGACAATAGAACACTTCATCAGAATCTAGTATTTAACATTTACAATGATGGTCCTGTTGGTAAAATACGGTAAATACTCTGAAGTGGTAATTTGTCAAATGTCCACAATATGGCATTTTCTGTGTGACAATAAAGAATATGCATGGCAGTTGACATAATTTGTCGCATTCCTACTTGAGGCATTGTTCTTGGACTTTGTTCTTTGTTATGATTCGTTAATATCATCAGGTTGAAGGAATGAGTTCCATGGTGTTTGAGCTAGCGAAAGTTGTTTCACAAGAACAAATGTTGTTGGATCAATCAAGAGACCTCTTTTCTGCGGTAGCAGTCATGCACGTAGGCTCTTCTTCTCTAGTTCATATTTCTTTCTCTTTCTCAATTTAAATGTTGTTTCTCTGTATTACAGTCTTCATGATTTTGTTGGAAAACAGGTTAAACTGTGTAGCTTGCAAGCTTGTATTCTGCAAAGAAACTAGAAGCTTGGCCAGGCACAGCTGTAGGTCAATTTGGACACCAACCTTCTTGGCCAGTAACATCAGATGGCCTGAATTGTTCTAACGGGAGAGACTAGGCAATGAAACCTGTCTATAGTTAACTGCATACACTGAACAGCATCAGAATATGAGATCTCACAACTCACGGAGGAACAGTTTGTTTTTTTGGGTGTGCATATATCATACAAGATTTACCTGAGATGTTTGCAGAGAATGTATATAGAGAACTTAATGTTGCCGACCCTTTTTTTGGGTGTGCATATCATAGAAAGTCTGCCTGAAATGTTTCTTAGGGGGATGTATATAGAGAATACAAAGGGTGTATGTCGAAATGAAAATCTTACAATTTGCGTGCTTACTCCCATATTTTATGTCCTGGAGTAGTTTTTGCCAATCTGCAGTTTGGTGATGGTGTTAATATGAAAAGCTTTTTGCCAGGATGACCGGGATGACAGAAGGTGGTCATCCGGATGTTATTCAGATAGAGGAAAAAAGTTACAAAAAAGTTTTTCATCGATATCTAGCTTTCGAGGAAGGATGAGCATCAAAAGCGCACGCCTTGGAACCACACGCCAACCGCACAAATACAAACCACGGAGTGGAGAGCTGAGCACCAAGCCAGCCGTCGCCAAGCCAACAACAATACCACAGAGTAGATACGCTAAAAAACGGCACCTTCATGAAGGTTGCGACACCAATGGACACCGTCACTGGCTGTCCAAAAGAATTGGACATGGTTTTCACCTAGAGATCCTCACCTCGACTGTGCCCCTAGGAGGGTGTTAATATGAAAGTTGTTGAAGAGTTGCCTTCATGAATTTTGTGTCGTCATCCTTATTATGCAATCCTTGTGTTACATCCGTAGTCTAGAGAGATCGCATAATGTCTAGAAGAATGGAGACAAAAGATCTGGGGTGAGATCCTTCTTATTCATTCCTCTAGCACCAAGTATAATATGAGCACCTCCCCTCCTCCTTATATAGTCATATTTTATATATGGAAGTTATAGGTGTGGCCCAATTACTGTATATGGGATGGGCCCAAGCCCATAGGTTTCCTAACACTCCTCCTTGGGCACTCACTGCGTGCTGTCTATGTCTCATCAAAACTCCAAAAAATCCCAGTGGGAAAAATTTGTAGAAAGAGTACATAGCATGCGCTTACAATGTCACACGAATTGCCTCGTTAAAAACCTTGATAAGAAACTGTTGCGACTTATCTAAGGAAAAAAGAGTACAACCCACCCAATTCTTCGTTCAATCTTTCTAGATTGATTTTGAGTACTTGATTTTCTATATCGAAGATTCTGGAATGAGTCAGTGAAATTCTCCCCCTTGAATTTTGCATTTCTCTAAATCTCATTATTCCGATTTCTCGGACACACCTATTCAAGAGAAGATGTCAGTAATGAGTTAGTGGACAAACCTGCAAGATTTCCACATAACTTAGTTCATTGCTTCTATGTACCGTGCTGAGTACCGCACTGTCGCCAACGAGGTCGCTGAAGTCACCTAGCTCCACCAACTCCTCCATGAGCTCCACTCGCCACCGCCTAAGGCCACCTTGGTTTACTGTGACAATGTCAGTGCGGTCTACCTCTCCTCCGACCTGGTGCAACACCAACCGACTATGCATGTCGAGATTAATCTCCATTTTGTCCAGGAGAAGGTCGCCGTCAACGCGATTCAGGTCCTCCACGTACACACCTCTTCTCAATACGCTAATATCTTCACCACGGGACTCCCTTCAACGGTCTTCACCAAGTTTCGCTACAGTCTCAACGTCCGCTGGTAGGACATCATGATTGCGCCCGGGGGTGGAATGTAATTTGTCTCCTGCCATTTCTTCCCGATTCTATTTCTATAAATTGGTGGAGAGAGTATGGAAGGTGGAGGCCTATATATGTATTGCTCCGTGATCAAAGAGATTCATCGCGTTGAGTCAATGCATTTGACATATAGTATTAGGCAACAGGCTAGGGTAGCAGTATGTGCTCACGTAGTAGAATGTTGCATACGGTACAATATTATGCATGGGAGGTATGGAGAATTCAAATATGTGGCACAAGTGAAACAATGTCTCTACAAGAACCATTCCAGCGCTACAAGTTAAAACACTCATATGGCCTATTTTTCCAAGGCACAGATGCGTTCTGTCGTCTGCCCTCTAACTGTTCTCGCAGCATGTTGAAGTTGTAGAGTCTGGGACGAGCAAGTAGAGAGTCAGGAGAATGCTGAGACATCCCCTCGCTCATTGTTGCTTTCAACTTGAAGGAGCGAGCTATATATATACCCTGAAAAATCAGGGGAAATTGGTCATTGGTGCATGTGAGTAAAGTCAATAGAAATCTGGTTGTGAGTTGTGACCAATATATGGAGCGGGATGTTTGTTATATACTTCTTCATACGAACAGTTAAGGAATTGCTATAGATTTTTTTTAACAAAATTGAGTACTGCACCAGTGTTAGTCAAGGCCGTACCTACAAATTGAAGGCCCTGGTGCAATACAACCCTTTTATTTACAAAATTTCACTTTAGACTATGTAATAGATTAAAGTTGAAAATAAACAATGAGTATAACCACTTTTCATTTAGTGCCACATACTTTACAATTCATTATAAAGGTATCCACCATCACTATGCTTTTTTCATTCATGTCATAGCTGGCGATAAATTTATAGATCTAATGTATTCCCTCTACGAAAAACAGAATGGAAGACTAATAGCGATTATAGTTATAAAGGAGAGCACAACATGGACATATGGAAGGCCAAGGGAGCTTAACAACCGCCAACGGTGACGGTTTGTTTAAACTTAGGAAACAATTACATCATAATGCAATGATTATGCTTTCTATACGAAGTATAAAAATTGAATTTTAATTACCTAGAACACATATTCACGCTGTTGTTATGAGCTATGAATATTTAATATGGCTAAAATTACCATTGAACACTTATAAAAGCCAACAAAAAAAAGCTCATTCTAGCTAGATCAGTGAAACAGGGGACGTGAAAGTTGCAAAAATGGGATAAATATATCCAAGATGATACTGGAACGCATTGGATTGGATTGAAACCGAAAACGGCCGGGTTGGTGTTAACTAACCGGATTGTTTATTTCTATTTTTAGCCTATTCTAGTAAATTTTTGAAATAACCCATTCAATATTTTGTCCTAAAATTAAACCCTTTGATCACCTACCAAAATATTAAATATGAGACGTGACCACGCTACACAAATGGGACATGCCCCCATCCCTTCCTGCCCCATCCCCCATGTGTAGGAGCATGTCTCTGTGTTCTAATTTGTAGGTGTACTCTACCTTGAGCTACACAAGACTTCCTTCAACATAGTATTTATTTTTTCTTTTCCTTTTGTTTTAGTTAGTTCAGAAAATATAGTCACATATAAGTACGAGTAATAATACTTATAGGTACCAGTGACGATATTTGTCAATTATGATACATGTAGGCACCGTTAATGATATCTGCGAAGTAACAGTGATAATACTGTTGGGAAATTTTATCTCTAGGCAAATCGAGAGGAAACCCCGCACGACCGTTTTCCACCTATTGCCTGTGGGATTAATGTGATTTAATTTGTGATTATTTCCATAATTATGTGGTTATGTGCATTGATCGGTAGTGCCAAATCTTTCAATGTTTTGGATTGCCCCCGATCTCCCTCAGCGCCATATTAATAGGGGAGACCGGTGTCGTGGAAATATGACGATCTCTCCACAATCATCTTCCCCCCGAAAAACCTAAAACCCTATCCGATCAGTTGAGCACTAGAGGGAGAATGTGCGGCTGTTCCGAGACAATGTAGGTGGCGACCGGAAGGCCGCTGCTACCCCGCAAGTGATCACCGGTAACCCCTTTGGGATCAAGTCAGCATCCTCACTGCTACGACTACTTCCCCTACGCCGACGATCACCGGAGCAGTTCGAGGAACTTGTCCTCTACTTCCACTCCGGCTAACGACATTGCAGAGGGAACAAGGAGAACCACATTAATGGCTTCAAACAACGGTCAGTAACCCTAAGAATTCCGTATTAGGGTGATCATGTTTAGGCTAAGCACTCATGTTAGTAGATCACAAAATCTACAAATACATATTGGTACCATATGATTATCTTATGGTACTTGTAGGTACTATTATTATATGGTAGGCATCAATAACTATACCTATCAAATACCGATGATGATATATGTAGGTAGTAGTGACGAAACATGTTAGGCAAGCACAGTGATGATATATTGCAATGGTCCCTAATGATGTTTTCTAGGTACCGGTGATGATACCTACTAGGTATTAGTGAGTGATCAAATATGCAAGTATCAATGATAATATCTATCAGGTACCAGCAAAAATATGTGAAGTTACGGATGATGATACTTGTTCGGTATCGGTGATGATATCTACTAGCTAGGTATCAGTGAGTAATGAACATGTAAGTATCAATGATAATATCTATCAGGTACTAGCAATGTTACACTAAGTTACGGATGACGATACCTATTAGGGAATAGGTATCTGTGAAGACACTTACTGGGTATCCGTGAGTGATAATACTTGCAAGTATCGACGATAATATATATCAGTTACTAGCAATGATACATGATTTAACGATGATGATACTTGTTAGATACTTGTGATAATACATGTAGGTGACAGAAAAAGGGCTACTTCCTCGACTTCCTCGCGTTGTCTGATATGGTACCATGATACCTCCTAAGTATCATGAGGCCTGCCTTATACCTCAATTTACCATTCAAGTTTGTCCCAAAAAAATACCTCAATTTATTATTTCAAGTTTCTAAAAGAAAAAAATAATTTACCATTCAAGTATCATTACCAACATGTAGTTAGATCCCACGAGTGCAACTGATACACATGAAAAGCTGAAACACATGCTTACATTCAAAAGTGCATGGGTCCCATGTGGATGTGTAGTAAAAAAGTTGACGTGGGCACATGATAGATAAATTAAGGTAGAGGCAAACACAGGGGTATGGTATCTTGTAGGCTCGTAGGCCCCATATTAGCTCGTAGGTCCATGTTAGAGCAAGTACACTAGCATGCCATAAGACAGCTATAACCACATATCAAGAAGAAAAGGGAAGAGAGAGAAGAAAGCGGGCTACAGATTTGTAGCCTGCTGCTACACGGACTCCAAAACGTTGTGGGTGTATGAGAGGTAGGACCGGGTATTAATGGTGTAGTATATTTTTATAGGTAACTATTGCATTAATGAGCTATTAGATTAGCTATAGATGATTTGGAGCTAATAGTTGGCTACACTATTAAACTTGCTCTTAGTTGAATGGAGGACACGAGGCAGACATGCTACTTCCCCTTCCGTTCCATGTGGAGCGCGCACAACGCATGGAGGTACCGTTCCAACTTTCCCGAGTGGAATCCCGTCCGCATTCACATGCTTTAATGTCTAAAAATAAGTTTAGATGGCAAAGTTTTGTTACACTATTTCTCTTATGGTTTGAAAATCATAGCCATCATAAGGAACTACTTTCATACAAAAATCTAACCATATAGTTCCTTTTAGCAAAATTTAAATATGTTACGATTAATAATTTGTCAGAATTTAAAATCGGATAGTTTAAATGCACCTTATATTTCTATACAGGAGGTACATAACCTTGTTGGTGTGTTTCTTCCAATGTTTATCTCTTTCTATAAAAAAAGACGAAACTGATTATAGTTACAACAATAAAACTTGAGAAGAGAATGATGGCATCAGACGATGTTTCATTGTACATTCAATTTTAACAAGGCCTCCAAATTCCAAAATTTTTGGACCGGCCCTAGCCTGGCCATACCGTCATACCATACTCCACTTATCATATAGCCTTCCAACTCTATGTCAGTTACATAAAAAAAACTTTAACAAACCGCTCTCTGACTTTGAAAAGCTGACATGTAAGCCCCATAGCTCGTGAGTATGTCAGTGATCCATGTCAGAGGGCGTCGGAGAAGCCCTCCCCGTCACACACACACATGCCAATCTATCAGCCCGTGGCAATACATACGAGTAACATTTTGAAATGTGCAAAAGATCCAGAGTTTATGCTCTGTTCTTGCATTGTCACTTCGCTAGCCTCCATGACGTACAAATATTGGCTTTGTTTCTTACCTTTCTCTCAGCCATCATCTATTGAGTTCTTGGCCACTTGATCTGTCAATAAGTACGTAGCGGTAGCAGGGGCAGACGCAGGGAATATGAGTATTCGTTTTTATACACAAATGCAAAGTGTTGGGCAAGTTTGATAGTAGAGGTGTCTACCACATCTAATTTCATGTATATTATACACTAATAAATTAAGATGTAATATGTATAATAGGTTACCTATGCCACACAATTCCTAATATCTCTAACACTCTCACATATTTATTGAAGTTTGTATAGAGGTTGTCTCTTGCATGAGAACAGGTACAATAGCAGACTATAAGTCAATTATAAACACATATCGAGGAGATTAATGAGGAGAGAGAAGAGCAGTGGGCTACATATTTGTGACTAGCTATAGCACAGACTACAAGACACATTGTGTGTATGATAGGTGAGATTAGGTATTACTAGTGTAGTATATGTTTATAGGTAACTATTGTATGAATTGGCTTTTAATTTAATTACAGATGATTAGGAGCTACGTAGTGGCTATAGTATTAAACATGCTGTGAGATGTGACTATTTCTCTCATCTTTTTTTTCTTTTTCACCTCATTATTTAGTCATATATTGTATCTTTTTTTCTTTTTCACCTCATGCTTGGATGTCCATAGTATTTGCCTTAAGATTTGATCCATTGGTTAGTGGATGGGTGATGGGTTCAATTCCTAGTACCTATACGCTATAGCATAAAAATCCTATGTTCATCAATGGCTCATACTTCCTCCATTCATTTTTTATTGACATATTTGCTGTGATCAGTAAGACCAAGAAGAAACCGCGCATGCCAAACTTCAACTTCATTAAATCTGCATCGGTTCAATTGCAATACTAGAAAACCAGCGTACCAGCTGGCACGCCAGCAAATTGACCTATTAATTTGCATAAAATTCGTGTTATAAGATTAGAGATTGACTGCATATATGGCTATTTTGCGTGGAGACCGATTCCGTGAGTAAAGACGTGCGCCAACGATTAATTTACACAGTATTCGTGTTATAATATTAAATTTTGACCACATATATGGTTGGTTGTAGTAAATCTGGATTCTTTCCGATTTCTCTAGAATCGTCTAGTGATATTTCATATTTTATATGGGCTGTTAATTTTGCAGAGGTCCGTGGGTCCATTTATAATGCAAATGCGAGGCAGGAGCTTTTTCCGGCGAAACCAGTTGAGCCACATGGCACGAGCAACTGTAAGAGTTTTGCACAAATCATATTAAATCTTTAGTTTTCCGAAGCCACTACCAACAGTAGCTCGCTTCACCAGAGCCCACGATTTCGCTACAGTGCAACAGTTTTCTTCTGAACGTGCGTCGTCTGATGTCCCTGCGCGGCTGTGATCAGGCCGTCCACGTGGTCTTCTCACCCATCCTTATCCAGTCGTCCTCTCCCGTCCTGTTCCGATCCCATCCAACTCCACCGCCCCCATACCCTAATCCCCACTACATCGGTGGAGAAATCGACATCCCCGTCGCCGGCATTCACCTCCCCTCCGTGCCACCATGTTTCTCCTCGCTGTCTCCACTCCCCTTCAAGTCTCGGTAACTTCCCATCCCCTTTGCTGCCAAGGGCCGAAGGCACTACCTCCAAACCGTAGCCACAGCCCTGCGCCGCCGCCATAGCCGGAGCCGGCCAATGGCCTTTCTTTCTTCCCGCTCCTCTTTCTCGAGTCGACAGCGAGTGGCCTCCCAATTGATGGGTGCGCTTCCCGGTGGTACCCTCTCTCGCCCTCTCGTAAACCCTTCCATCTTCAGCGCCAGCGGTGACCTCGCCTCCTATCGGCTCAGTGTATCCCCAATCTTTGCCTCCTCTTCCGCAGGTACCACGGCGGTTGCACCTCTTATTTTTTCCTCTTTTCATCTTCTGTGCCTTTTATGCTTAGCTTTTGGTTCGATTCCCTATTCCTTGCATTGCTCTAAGTATCTAACAAGTAGTTTTTCAGTTTTACCTATTCAAGATGCAGGTGATAAATTTAACTTTTATGTATTTCAGGGATGTTAAAATTTATGTATATTTCTGTTATGCTTGACGAAATGGCAGAATAAGACGTGTGACATTTCTCAATCCGCTGCCACACTATGCTCCAGCTAGCTGTTTTGATTTTATTCTCCATCAGGCTAGGTATGCTTTTACCTTTCCTTAGTATTTATCTGTTCATTATGTTGTTATACAACATTTGTTTCCACCACATTCCCTATGTCCTACTATGGTTGGGAGATTCTGTTCTCTAATTTTGTTCAATGCTAACCATGACCAGCTGATCTTGATGTGCCCACGTTGTCTCCCTGGCTATGACCCATTGTGTCATGCTTTCATACATTTACTGGTGGTGGTGGTTATGTTTTGTTGGTGAGAGTATGTAAGATGGAGCCACTCAATGATGTTAGGAACGATAGGAAGCCCTCAATAGGCCAATATGACACAATCTTATGATCTGCAAATTTGTTTTTTTCACTGAAGCTCAGAGGGAGCAAAATGGGTGCTGGTATTGATGATGGGTAGCTGTTGAGGTGCATTGCCAAGAGCAGGTTGATTCTTTGTAGCTATTGCAAACCAGCAAATTCACAGCTTATACTATTCTTTCCTTGGCTATTCAAATGATGTTATGTCTGTATTTCTTTTGCTGTAGTTCTCTATGTCTATTTGTTAGCTGCTGATCAGAAGGGATTTGCAATGGTAGCTTGGTTAAGCAAGGTGCGTTGTAATCTGGCAGGATCTCAACATGGTGTGTTTCCTATATGTTGATCCATTGTTCTTGCAGTTAGACGAGCGGATTTTGATGCCAAGTTGTATTAAAGATGCCTTCTTGGAATGCTAATTTGAATGCCGAACTCCTCTCCTTACTTATTGGAGGTCTTTGGAGGTAATTCAGTTATTGTGATGAGCTCCTTTGAGTTACAATTTGCTGTCTGCTCCTCTTTCTCTTTCATATCTTTTTTTTATGGAGATCTCTTCCCTGCTATGGGCTTCATCTGCATTAAAAGTAGAAACTTTGAGTGCAGGAGTTCTGACCAATTTCGAGTTAAACTGTGAAGCTTTTGGAAGCACTTTTTTTAGGGATACCTTTTGGAAGCATACCCTAATTAGAATCTTCGATAGCTAAACTATAGCCTATGTATCTTTAACAGTTTCTATAGCCTCATTTTTCTTCCCGTCTTACCTTTTGTATACTCACTCAATATGGTTTGTTTCCTTTCCTATTTCCACTTTTGGCAGGTTGGTTTATAATCCATCGATAATCATTACTAAAGACAAACAGAATAATTCATAAATAGAGGACAGGTAATACTACTACGAAATGTTCATCTCATATCTTTTTTATCAGATTGATAATCGGTATATGTTCTTAAACAAGGCATATGTTTAATATCTTTTTCAGGCTAAACGTTATTATATTCATATCCTGGTAATGCACTTGCCAAATATAGTTGGTGGAAATCCAAGCTTTCTGTGGCTTTGTGCACCCTGATCAGAGCATTAATAGAGTAATGCATGGTATGCCATTTTTTATTTCTTTAGTTATACCTGCTCATAAATACAATTGTAAAATACCTGTTTAAAGCAGCATCTTGGTTCCAAATTGAGTGCATGATTTTAGAGGTCTTCAGCATCAGTAAATGTTTTAATTTTATCTTAGTGCTGACGATGGATGATAGTATTCTTGTGCTAGGTTTGTAGTGTTTGTGTTAAATCAAATAATGTCAAACTTATTGAACAAATTCGTTCCCAATGTACCATGGAAATTAAATGGCACCAGCAGGTAAAAGTAGACTTTATGTTTTTTCTTAGTGCTGGTCACATCGTAGATAGCATTTGTTTCCATTTATTCAAGGGGAACCAAAGTATTAAATTGGTGGTTATCAGTTTATTTTTTGTGATGCGTTAGTGCATATAGCATCCACGTAGCAAAGCGATCAACATATATTTAGGTTGAAACTCTTCGAAGAAAGGCAACCACGATGACTTCTACAATTTCAATTAATAGACATTCAACTTTGCAACAGGATGAAAGCAGTTCGTTCTAAATAAGGATAAAGCTTGGAAAAATTTGTGCCTTCCATTTGTATTGAAAGAAGAAAGCTCTTCAAGCAGGTGTTATTTGCATCATGTAACTTCGGGAAGGAAATGCTACACAACCATTTAAACAATCACCTTTGTTTTATCCATATGTGCCTCATGTAGTATGTTTAGCAGTAGTGCTATGTGATGTCCAACTGACACAGTAGCTCATCTAGCCGTGTAAATATTAACCGTTCACTATATATTTATCATTCTTTAATACATGCCATTCAACAAGACCTGATTATATCAAGATTTTAATTATAGTCTTATTACTGAAACGTGCGCATTCTTTCCAGCTAGCCACCGCAGCGAAGCGCGGGGGTACCAGCTAGTTTCTATATTAGAGATTACTTCGTTCAGCCCGCTCCACTTTTCAATCCTACGTGCACTCCAGCAGATTCAAATGGCCCGTGTGAGAAAATCAGAAAATCTCGTTGCATGCGGCCAGGCAAGAAACGAAGCAACATCAACATGGGGGTAGTTGAGAGAAATACGCCGATCAATCTTAAATACTTTTCTGGTTCAAATATGTCTATCAAAAATAAATTGGAGGAGTAGTTTTTTACGACTATCTTCTTTAGGTATTTTATTAAATAGGAATAATATCACTTAAATACACAGAAAAAATCAGCGTCCATCACTGGCTCGTTGTGTATGCCATGATAGCTCCTACCTCCGTGTCACTGCATCGTAGTGTATGACAGCTAAGAAGCCTAGTGTAATGTGATTAAGTAATTACTAACCAAGGACAAAATGGTAAAATTTTGCCAGAAAACTAATTAATTGGATTGGTTTCTGAGTTGTTGGATGAACTAGCTTGTGACATATACTAGGAGAGGAACGGTAGGATATGAGCTGTATAGGATGCATGACAAAAACGGATGGCTAACAAGTACCAAATCTGCTGAATTTAATGATGGAATAAATGCTTTCTCGTGTGATTTTTCTCAAGAGTCTATAAGGTAGCACAATATGTACTCTTCCTTCACTCATTGAAATACTTAGCTGTAATTTTTCTCGTGTGATTGTACTCTACCTTCTATAAGGTAGCAAAAACGGATGGCTAACAAGTACGTTTTCTACACACACAAGAAAATACAGAGGAGCAAGGGTAGTTTTATACGATGGGTGGAAGATCTGCTGCTTGCTTCTTCTTGGTGGTTCTTGTGTTACTAGGAACTCCTACTTCCGCAGGTACCCCCTCTCTCACTATCTCTCTCTTCTTCAAATCTACAAAAAGTTGTAATCGGAGAATTTTTGCGGGCACAAAATTTTCAAGCAAAGGTTGTTTTCAGGAAAAGAAATCTATGTGGTTAGTTTTTTGTGAGAAAAAATTCATGGCAACCAAAGTTGTCAAGGATGCCAAGAACAATCCATATATCTTCAAAATAAATTTAAGTTATACATATATAGTTCATTCCTTCTTTCGGTCCCATATATAGGTTGTGTTCTTCCCCCAGTTTTCCTAACTCATGTCTCTCGTTTTCCGCATGCATGCTTTTCAAATTGCTAAACAGTGTGTATTTTGCAATAAATTTATATATGAAAGTTGTTTTAAAAAATCATATTAATCTATTTTTTAAAAAATAATTAATAATTAATTAATCATGTAGTAATATGTATTTCGTTTTGCATGCCGGGGAGGAAGGTTCCCAACCCTTCCTCCCAGACGCAGCCATAGAAGTCGTAAAACCACTAGCATTATATGTAATTTTGGGCACTCTCGAAACATTAGTATTTACTACTGCTAACACATAAAAGTTTAATTTATATATGCTTTATTGCAGACGAATGCAGGGATATTAGCACAAAGGACCTATTCTGCCTGAAATATTTGTGCAAATCTTTCTGCTTGGACGAGGCACGGAACTGGGGTGGAACGGCTGGCTATGTCGACCAGTACTGGTGCAAGGGACAAAGGTGTAACTGCAGGATCTGTCGATTAACTTAATGGATATGAAATTAAATTCATCCATCCAACCATATATGTATGCTGTATGCAGTAGCCCTCATCAGGTTACAGCAAATGGAACGATAATATGATGTAATAATCAGCCATGATTATATTCTACTTTAGGCTTGTGCTTTTGTTCCTTGTTTCATAATTCGTGCAATTAATTGTTACTGCTCGGAACTCTAGTCGTCTGGTCGAAGCCACCAAGACAAAAAATTCACCCGATACACCACTTCGAAGAGTAACATAATTGTGTCATTTTCTCTAGCTCCTTACTCGTTTCAAAATATGTTCTTAAATATAACTTCTTCACCTACATTTTCCTCTCAAATAATTACAACCTCCTACCATTCAAATTCTCCACCTACTTTCGTCTTTTTTTCTTGACCAATCATAATATGCCCTCAAATTAATTTCACCTACTTATTTAATACATGTGTCTAGTTCTAAAAATTATTATATTTTGGAACACTCTAGCCATTATTTTAATATATCTTCCTCCAATTGAGTGAGTAAACATTATAAAAGAAAATTTTACCCTTCCGTCACATTACAAGATTAAATTTTGAACAACTTTTCTCTCTTGTTCAGCTAATACTTGTTCAGTTTCATTTTTACCAAAATACTGCCATAGCTTTGCCTGACAGTTAAAATATATCAAAGAAAATATTAAAAAAGATTACAAAGGTAAAAAAAAGATCCCTAAATCAAATGAGTTGTAACCAAGCAAGTACTTGTTGTTTTAAGCTAACATTTATCCTACAAGTATATAAGAGAATATTTTTCTTAAACAAGAGCTTACACATTGAGACACTTGGCAAAATATTCTAGAAAATGGGAGCATTTCTTTGCATCTAAATCTGCCAACGTGCTATCAAACATACTTCCATAAAACCCTTTCTTTGAAACTGATATCTTGCTAAGACAAAGAATCTAAGAAAATTCTAGATTAGTGTTCAAGCCAATTCGAATAGCATGCCAACAGCTCAAGCTAAATGGACGGGCGAAGAAAAGATGCAACAATGTCTCCCTTTGATTTAAGCCACAAAGAGAACAAGAGAGAGATGCATCCTCAGGGGAACAAAACTTCCTATCAAGCATGTCCCTGGTATTTAATCTATCAAAAAAACAATAATCATGCAAAGACTTTGATTTTCATGACAACCTTGCACTTCCAAAGCCACACAAAATTTCTTGGTGGATGAATGCCCATAAAGTTCATTTTTATAGAATCTCTGCAATGATTTGCACTTGATTCCATATATAAAGTTCATTTTACTTGTTCAGGTTTTAATCTTTCAATGTTATAAAGGTTTTTTTTTAGTTTTCTCTTTTTATTGGAGGAAAATATATTAAAATAATAGCTAGAGTGTCGTTTGTCAAATTACCATAGGACTAGAGTGTAGTGTCCTGTAGGAAAAGACCAAAAAAAAACCTGAGTGTCCTATAACAACGACATAAAACTAGAGTGCCTAGCAAATACCATAAATCTAAAGTGTTCTAAAGTAAATTTTACCTATATTTAACTACTCAAAGAACACTAATATTGTTAACGGAATTCCTAACCTTCTGTCAACAGAAAATTTTGGGCCATTAGACGTGCTATTCATTCTCTAGGTGCTTCTTCTCCAACTCCAACAACCTCCTCTTCTTCTCCGGTACAAGTGACAACCCAAACACGGAGGACCGACAAATTAGGGTCCCGGGGTGGGGTGGGGATGGGAGGAGGAGCGAGAAGAAAGGGGAGGTCACCGGGATTAGAGGGATAGTCATGGGAGGCAGCCGCCCAGCAGTAGGTGGTAGAATAGGCAAACGGCGAGGCGCCAGTGGCGGCATTAGAGCTGCGGGGATGGAGGAGGGCGTTGGGACAGTGTTGGTGGTGGGGCATATATAGCGAGCTTATGGTTAAGAGGTTGTGGTCGGTGGTGGTGGATCCAGCGACAAGGAGTCGCCAGAGACGAGGAAGCCGGCGGCGGCAGGGGCATCTTGCCACCGACAGCTCAAGGAGGGAGGAGAGGGGGAGGAGAGCTGGCCAGAGGGCCCTTGCTAGCGCCGTTGATCCCTTTTGGCCAGCCGGCAAGGCCATGTGGTGGCGTGTGGGGCAAAGGCGTTGGTGGAGGTGGCCTTGCTGGTGTGGATCAGGCGCTGGTCAGGTGATGTCGGGAGGAGGGGGATGAAGGGGATTTTAGGGTTAATTTTCCTAGCACGAATTTTAAAGCAATTGGACGATCGATAATTCGCAAGATTTCAAGGTTGTCTTTTGTAAAATAACATAAAAACAGTGCCTGTTGTTAATACCCAAATTTGACATGTGGCACAATTTGGAAAAAACTCAGATTTGCCACGCGAGGCCGGTCTAATTGCTACCATTGGGACAATTAGACTGACGGCAAGGGGTTAGTCTGACGGGCGGCTACATGGGTCAGTCTGACAGGCGGGATGTGGCTAATCAGACCGGCAGAGTCCGACACCGATTTGTCGATTCTCAGGACCTAAGATTTTGAGTCTTAGTTGGTTTCTACAACTAATTCGACGTGAAAATGATCCTGGGAAGTAAGTCCACCTCTTTTATAAATATAAGGGGCCTAAGGCCGATTGAAGGAAAAACCAATCAATCATCAAAATCAATTTTTTACCTAAACTGTCTATATTCTACGTCTCTCCTTGCTACCTATCCTAAAGTCTATTTTCCTCAGATCCCTCAATTACTCATTGTCTCTCACTGGCGCGCGTTCACCCTAACGGGATCCTTCGTGGATATTCGTTCTGCGGTATCTGCCTTCCCCTACGGCGGTGCATCTCCCGGTACCACCACGGCGTTATCTAGTGCCAACGAATATAGGAGGACAGTGTCAACACACGATTGGATAGCTCCGAAGCTATCAGGTGAAGGACTCCAACCGTGCAGCAGAGGACCTATGAGATTCAGATTCAGATTCAGATTCATTTGGAATATACCTAGTCAATCCTAATTAAACTGCCGATCCGGCAATCGTGGCGACTGACCAGAGGCAACAGTTCCATCAGGGTACGAAGTGTGTGATGAGCCCTATATATATATGACCACTCCTGATCCTTGTTCTGCATCTGTAGTAGTTCAGTATTTCTGTTCAACGCAAATAAGTTCAGAAGAAGAGAGAAGAGAATAGAAGCTGTAATTAGCTAGTTGTTGCGATGGATGCAAGATCTGCCGTTTGTTTCCTCCTAGTTCTTGTTCTGCTCGGAACTCCTACTGCATCTGCAGGTGTGTTTCAGTTCTTGCTTCCTCTCTCAATTCTCATTTCATTTTTGCCTTGCATATATGTACACAAATCGAAATGCTGCAAAAATTACGTGTATGAAATATTGCACCGGGACTAATGTGCACAGTAGATTGGTTTGACATCTAACATTATCAGATTAACATGTGCTAATGGCAATTGATGCAGCGATATGCGAGCATTTTAGCACCAAGGACCTGTTCTGCATCAAGTACCTGTGCAGGGGTTTCTGCCACGACGAGGCCGTGAACCTGCGAGGGAAGCACGCGCGCGTCATGCGTGCCTGGTGCCATGGCCGCAGGTGCAACTGCAATGTTTGCCACTGAATATTTGCCATGAATATTCAGGTTGTCGATCGATCCAGTCGTCTGGCTTGTGTTCAATTTAGTTCAGTTATTTTCAACTTATTCAGTCAACTTTCACTGGGGAATTCGTTGTTAGGTTGTTAATTAGTTCGGCGGCATCATATAAGCCAGCCGTGTGGTCGTTTTTTAGGTTTGTAACGAATAATAGTTAATATTAATATATCTAGTTTATTTTGTTTCCTATGGATGTTTTTGTTGTTGTGGTACAAGACTTCATCTTGATTTCTCTCATCTCGAGCAGCTAATGCGCCCGGTATTCTCCCAGTTATTTATATTTACCCCCGCAAATCATGAATCGGATGATTGACGGATTTGATTTGGCTATATATGTATAAATCGGATGGTTCTATACTTATGCAGCACGAAGAATAATCAAAAGTGCTTCATTACTTTCTGAACTTGTTTGTAGTTTGGACCATGTAAATCAAACCGCTTGGTCCTTCCATATATTTTCAAGGGACAAGCTATATAACTTTCCACAGTTTTTCATGGAAAAACTATAGTATAACTATCATGTAAGTACATTATAATTATAATTATTATGTAGTTGTAACCAGTATATAACTTATATGTATAAAATCATAACGACATTAATAGCTCAGCGGTGAATGCACGCGAGTAGGAAACATTCTATTATTCGCACACCCCTCATTTGCACGAAACCCAAAACTAGTTCAACGGTCTAAAAAATTAGTTTTGCCATAAAGAATTGTCGATGGATCAATAGCATTTCAATCTTCTAAACATCGCTCAAAAGTTTCACTATGATAGGAATACCATTTATTTTATTATTATTTGTTTTCCTAATATACATGTATAGGAAAGGGAACCACATCCTTTTGTTCAGTCAATAATTTAATCTAAAAATTAGAGTTTTCTGTTCCGGCCCATTCCTTTATGTTCCGTCCATCCAACGCATATATTTGGACCCAACTTTTTATTAAGAGAAACAATGAAACGACGTTCAAAAGTCAACCGCATCATATATATTTTAAGAAATAGAGATAGTAATTAAAATGAAATAATGAACTGTGAGTAGAGAAACATATTAACCATGGGATCAATTTTGATTCCGTCTGAGCCACGATATTCTCACAGGTCAGCGTTAAACACAAAATATTTTGCTCCTCATAACCAGTCTATCAATTAGCACTGATTCGCTCTTTGTTGCTTGTTTTCCTACCTAGTAAAATAAAGTGCAGGAAAATATCCACTGTTGTGTCTTGGATGAAAGGTCTTCAGGTATTAATTAGCTCCCCCATCAGTGCTTGTTTTACCAAGGAAATCATTGATTATTTAGTCATCACTACCTCTACCTGCAACATTGCCAGCATTTCTGAAAGTGTTTTCTCCAATAACTAAACCTGTATCTATTTGGATACCATTGATTATCTCGGTTCATTTTTATCTGTACAGTAGGCACATGTATTCGATGCTTTCTTGTTTGATTTCTCCAGACCCAGAAGATCACAGAGCTGTCATACAGCTAAGAGTTACTTATTCACTAATTATGACTAATGAAGTGTCAATATAAAAGCAGATTAATGAGAAAGATTCTACTTTCCCCATCTCCTTATCCTTTCTTTATTTACCCAGGTTTTACTTCTTCCCTTTTTTATCTTTCACCATAAGTCTATAAACATGGCATGCATCCGGTTCCTGGCTATCATCTACAGCGAAATACTCTTTTGTAATTCAGCACTACAAATAAAAAAACGGTGAAAAGAGGAACATTGGAGTGTAGCACTCAAAAATGGACGGAAGGTTTGCAGGTGTTTGTTTTCTCCTGGTTCTTCTCTTGCTGGCAAATCCTACTTCTGCTGGTAAGTGTATGGTCCCTGTTCTCCCATTTGACAAATTAAGGCCGCGTGCTTTTGTTTTATGCATGTTTTCTACAAAGAAGGTGGAACAATCTGAGCGACAACATTTGATTTTTACAGTTTCATTACTAGATTGAATTTAGGCCCCCTAAAATTGATGGATTGCGAAAGGGTCTATACTAGCGGTTATAGTGCTCAAGTAGCATCTATATAAAGGTCCTAGATTTTACTCCCTATAGGTTCGAATTTTAGGGCTTTTTTTAAAATTCACTCCCTGGCTATTGTATGTTAGGTCTTTTTGAAAAATTCACTCTCTAACCTCTCATAAAACATGTGTTAAAAATCAATCTATGAAAACAAGCTCATTTTGTTTGGTTGAGGATTATTCTTTTTAATAAAAATCCGTGGAGACAGTCATTCCCCTACCGCTCGATTTTTTAAAATTGATGAATTGATGAATGATTTGGCTTACGTGATAGCTATTTGAGCGTATAAACGAATGGATTAACTACTAACACAACATTTAAATGTTACTCTAGAAAAGTATTCAAAGAAAATTTTTATATGAAACGCACCATTTAGAAACTTAGGATTAAATCCAAAATCCAGAATCGCAAAACAACTGAGCCATATCCTGGCACGCCTAATCTATTTTTGAATAAGTCACGGGGGGAGAGTTTCCCCACCTGAATATCACGCCTAATCTATGTCATCAACTCTTTTTATAAAACAGCAGTTTTACCATCCCAAGATGTCATTCATAAATGTCAAGACAAACCTCTATCCAAGTTTAGAAGATACATACATACACACACAAGTGCCTGATCGGATCAGTATTCAGTACTGAATAAATACAGAATATGCGCGGTTCCTGTTGCAGATGAGCTTGATCCCGGCACCTGCGGAACGGAGGTCGATCCGTTGGACCCCTGCATCCAGACGCTGTGCAAGTGGAACTGCGAGCTGGTGGCCATGAAACGGGGTGGCCATCTCACCTCTTACGAATGCGGAGACCGAGAATGCAAGTGCGATTTCTGCGCCAGTAGCATCGGTGCTGATGAACACGGACTCCATGTCTAGCTGTAGTGTTCACTGGCAGCTGCTTACTCGCTGTCTGTAAATTCAGATCGATGGAGTAATATTAATATGTCATCACGTTATTTGGAAGGAGAGGAACCGATGTATCGACAATAAATCGGTGGCACTGGCAGAATTGTGGTTCTATTTAGCTTGTATGTTTTTTTTTTTGGTTTAATCTGCTTGAAGGTAGAGATGTGGTTGATTTCTGGGTGGTGCAAAAAGAGGTTGAGATTGATCAAAATATGAAACGGGCCCTGGTTTATTTGGGAACATGTCTACATTCCTGTGCATGAATGTGCTGCCGGCGATCGTTGATCCCGGGGACCTAGAACGATTCTTGGATTTTTCACATTTTGGTCCTTTTGAAAAACTTATTTTGCAAATAAACCTCTAGAAAAACTTATCCCATAAATAGTCCTTTTTAGGGCGCCAAAGTGGTTGGTGCCGTCGTCCAACGGGACGGCGCCGTCGTCCAACGGGACGGCGCCAGGCTCTCTGGTGCCGTCCTCCTGCCACCGTGGCACACGCGAACCGACGTGGCAGGAGGAGGGCGCCAGCATGGCTGGCGCCACCCCCCCACCCACCCCTCGCCTCCATTCCTTTTTCTCGTATGGAGTTGCAACGGTGTCATTTTTGTTTTATTTTTTTGGATTTTTTTCACACTTAGGATCACGATACAACCAACCACAAAAAAATTTAAACTCGGATGGAATATACCACTTAGCTAAGTCTGAAAATAGCTAGCATACATACCACTTAGCCTACTTTGCACATTCACCAAAATTAGACCATAACTCCTTTAGTAAAACCCTTTGACCAGCATGTTAAACATAATGCACTCTACCACTATATGAAATTACTTAATCTAATTCAAAACATAACCACATGAAATGATAGCCATAAGTTAAATGTAATCTTTTTATTTTTATTTTATTTTTTTGATATTTTTTTCACACTTAGGAGAACACAGCAACCAACCATAGAAAAAATAAACTTAAACGGACAAAATATGTGACTCGTAGAATTTTTCAAAACTCTACCGAAACGGACAAAATATGTCATTTATTAAAATAGACGTAACTTTCTCATACGGATTCGGAATCAGGCAAATAATATATCCACGGACATCTACAGAAAAAGTTACATCCGATTCTCCCCCGCTTCACCGGGTTCGGCAATATTAAAACCTCCAAATTCAGCTTGCAAGATTGTGTTTTCGAGAAGAGAAGTTTTTCAGTAAAGCTTTGGAAAATTCCACAGGTCACATATTTCATCCGTTTGAGTTTAGTTTTTCTATGGTTGGTTCCTGTGACTTCCTAAGTGTGAAAAAAATATCAAAAAAATAAAATAAAAATAAAAAAGTTGTACATCTCTCTCCTCTGCACTAGTTCGGAGAGAGAGGAGAGGAGAGGAAAAATTCCATAGGCCACATATTACGTCCATTTGAGTTTATTTTTTCTATGGTTGGTTCTTGTATGTCCCTAAGCGTGAAAAAAATATCAAACAAATAAAAAAAATAAAAAATTTCGGGGGGGGGGCGCCAGCCACTCTGGCACGCTCCACCCAGCCACCTCAGCATCGCCCCGCCACATCGACAGGGGGACGGCACCAGAGAGGCTGGCGCTGTTCCATTGGACGATGGCGCCAGCCACTCTGGCGCCCCAAAAAGGACCATTTATGGGATAAGTATTTTTAGGGGTCTATTTGCGAAATAAGTTTTTTAAAAGGACCAAAATGTGAAAAATCCAGGAACGATTCTTGTTGGTTGGAACACACACGAGGCAAAGTGAAGAGGAGTCAGAGGACACAATTTTCGCCCAGCGTAATGACTTGCTGCTTTTCGGCTTCAGAAAATCTAGTGGACGGGATCCCGTCAAGTGACAAGATGAGTTATAAAATTGAAGAAAATCCTACCTCGATCAGTTTCTCCTCTGACGTCTCCGCCTCACCCCATGCACACTCGCTCCATCGTGCGAAGGCAGGTAAATGCTTACCAGCCGAGCGTTGCTGTCCTTAGCTGCACACGTCGACGCCTGAACCATTCAAGAAACAATTGAATTGGTTGAGTGTCACGCCCAGAAATTCCCGAATAGAATTCCAAGCAGAATGTGCATTAAAATCCCCGTCCAGGACCGGCCGGGGTACACAAACGACAATGTTGACATTCAGATCCACGCCTTACAAACATCATAAAAGTCTTACATAAATGCAGCGGAAAAACGAAAGACAACAGGAGCTAAGCCTTGACTAGAACTGCAGCGGGAACACCACTCCACAGGCATCCTCG